GTCCTAGCCTCCGCTTCAGGGACCATCATGTCGCCGTCTGCCGTCGGATGCTTCGTTGCCGACGGCGGATGTGCATGGAATGGGGATGTCAGAGAAGTTGGCAACTGTAAATCCGGTGATTCCTATTGTGATCATTGTGGCTGTGGTTCCGCGGATTTATCTTCTTTGCCGGTGTTTTCTTGGTCTTCCTCTTCTCTATGGTCTGATTCGACGCGGTTGAGAGAGTCGGGAAAGCTATGGCGGATCCTTGTTGCTTCTGCTAAAGGCTTCACAATTGGAGCTGGTCTCAAAGGTGGACTCTCTCTCTTCTCTGTCCTCGCTGGATTGAAGCGGAGAAAGGCCTTGGCCTCCCTCGGGTATGGTTGTTTGAAAATTGGTTGTGAAGTCATCTGCGTGCTACCGTGCCTTTATTTTTGCTGTAAACAAGTGTGTTACCGACTTATGTTTGGTTTAGGAAGAAAGGAGTGATTACGAATCGAGATGCGATTTCCATGGCTTTGAAGGAGACTTTGAGGTACGGCCTCTTTCTTGGAACCTTTGCTGGTGCATTCGTTTCCATCGATGAGATCATAGGCAATCTGGCAGGCCACCGGAGGTATACTCTTTTCTATTCTGATCTTGTAATCCTAAATCTTATCTGTTTCTTGATTATATTTTTGTTATCCTTTTGATGTTTTAGTGTTAGTTCAGGACTGCAAGATGGAGGGCTCTAGTAGCGGGAGCATTAGCTGGGCCATCGATGCTTCTGACTGGATTGAATACGCAACATAAGACCTTAGCTATCTACATTTTTACGCGTGCTGCGGTCTTGGCAACGCGCTGTGGAATTGAAAGCAAGCGGCTCGGGCATATTTGTAAGCCTCTCACATGGTCATATGGTGACATCTTCCTCATGTGCCTCTCCTCTTCGCAAATCTTGTAAGAAATGTTTCTGCCGTACCATATTTCGCTGCTAATTCAAATGAAATAGGTCTAGAGTGTTCTATAATATTGTCAATTTCCAGTTTTAAGCTTTACTCATCCCGTTGCATGTTTTCCTACATGATCGTAGTGTCTGAATCATTAATTTAGCTTCTAGCCCGCAAATCACTACACCTGATCCTTAGTACACTTAAGCAAACGCAAGCAAGCAGATGAAAAACCAGTGAATGACTTGTATTGTCATAATTATGTACTAATAATGTAACAGTCGAACAAAATGAATTTTTGGATTGAATGCAGCTGAAAGCGTAATAAGCTTTCTTGGAATTCTAATCTAATTAATGGTTCACAAACCAAAAGTTCTGGCCAACAACTAGATGAAATATATTAGTCATTTCTTTATCACCCAGATGAAACATTCGGTACTTTTCTAATATATGCTGGTGTATGAAGCTATTTTGTGCTATTTCTTTTCGTATCTATAAGAAGTGGTTACTGATTATAATAGCAGAGAGTTAATTAGGGGAATCATTTTCAGGTCTGCTTATGTGTTAAAGCAAGATAGCTTACCACCATCGTTTAGGTCCTTTCTCAATACTCATGGTGGAAAGGATACTGTAATCTTGGAAGGTTTAAAGAGCTTTATATTAGGCATGCCTTCTTCTAATAAATTTAATGCGATAGAAAAGTACTACCAGACTAAGGGTGCTCACGTCAAACTAGATCCGGGAATGAAGACTCCATGCACGGTATATATTTATCTATTTTGTGTTAATCTCTGTTCATCAAGAAAAAAAAATGAAATTCTTTGTTTTTTGAAAGTAAAATTAGTTGTTCCTTATGTGTTGCACGAAAGATGTTGGCACTTATGTGTAAATTCTTGGGGTGGGCGGAGGCTAATATTTTGAGAAAACAAGGATTATGTTATTAATCGTTCCACTTGGAGGCTTGTACCAAGGCGTTGCATAGAATTTATCTAGTTCATTTTGTGCACTCCCAATTTGTAGGAGTCAATTGTGATGATAACTAGATATCTGTAGCATGAAATGATTATCAAGCGTCCTGCTTAGAAAAGTGAGATGTACTTTTGAGAGTTTACCCCAACTATCTGCATTTATCTTTCAATTTTAATATCTTTGTCTTTGAGAATTCTTTATTTTCTTAATACAGATTATACATGGAAATCAATCATGTGGTGGCCATTTTCTTTCCTTTATCATTCAAGGATATAAAAGAGCGTTGCCAGTTTATCTCCCTGTGTATCTTATCCCAGCCCTAATAGTTCATCGTCAAGGTCTCATGAATAGGTAATATTTCAATTTGAATGTCAGATGATTTATTCATATTGTGAAATGTGTTGGTTCGATTTAGAATTAGAAGTAGTGATTTCAAGTTAGGTTTTATATTTCCACCTCTTGGTCTGGTTGAAAGATTGACTAGATTACCGATTATGTCATAAATAGGCCACTTAATAATTTCCAGGATATGGAGTTAAGCTCACTAGTTTCTCGAGTGCCTTCATATGATTTTATTTCATGAGCAAATGAGGGCTTTTTTTCCGACTCTTTTTACACCTTTGTCACAAATAATATTCAAGAAGAATGAAAATTTACTGATACAAACCTTTCGGTGGAAAAACGTTTTATTGGGTTTCACATTGAACATTCAAACATGCAGGATACAGTTCCTGGCTTATGTGGTTGTTTGATTCATTCATAGTTGAACAACTAATTAGATTACCTCTCTGTTTGGCGAATTTAATCTTGCCCTGGAAGATTGTTACGGAATACTTACTTATTGAGATGACTTTTCTGGATGCCTTTTTCCAACCGTTATTTTGTATTTCTGAATTTCCATGATTCCGATGGATAACCTTTTGTGCAGGCCATACGAAATTTTAGCAAGGGGGCTTCTTGGAACTGCTAGATCAAGTCTGTTCCTTTCTGTATATTGTGCGTCTGCTTGGTTAGTATCTCTTCCACCTATATTATAGTGCATTGGCTTCTATTCTTGTCGTTACTATTTTCTTCCACTTTTTTCTGTGAAACTTCTCGTTTCGCTTTAAGACTTGATAAAAGTCTCTCAAAATATTAATTTAATGGATAGGATATAATAATTTGTATCATTATTTTCAAAGAGAAAAGCTGGCTGGTGTTGCTGTATGGAGTTTTCAAATATTTGCTGAAAAGGTTTCGATGCATATTAATTTTGTGAAAAGAAATAATTTCAAACATAAACCATGGTGATGGGAATTGTTTTTATTTAGCTGGTATGTTTTCATAGATTGACAGGGAACAAAACATAGTTGTGTTCATAAATTTACCTTTGGCTATCCGAAAACTGTATCCTGAAGCATAAACTACGAGTAAGCTGTGAAGTGTGTTCTTTAACTAGACTCCAACCAAATTACTATAGACCGAAAGCTGAAACTATAAACTATATTGTTCATTCTCTTTGTGATTGCAAAACTCCATACCGGATAGTATATCAACATTAGACGAGCTTGGAGGTTTTTCTTGATTCCGCCATTAAAAGCCTCAACTTTTCCCTTTGGCCTATCAAAATGATTTTCAAGCCACTTCAAAGTTTCACTTTTTGGGAGTTATTATGAGTCCAGATAAACACATTAGCCTCTAGCTCTAATACATCAAGTTTTCCACCTACTTTTCAGGATATGGACATGCCTGACCGCAAGGACTTTCAAGAAAATAAACGTTCCATTGGTTGCTGTGGCAACGGTATAGCTTCAACCATTCTTTACAATTAATTTAGGTAGAGCAAGAGAATTTCTTAAGGTCTGAAAAAAGTATGCTTTTTGAGCAGTTCTTAACGGGTTTGGCTCTGGCTATTGAGAAGAAGAGCAGGAGGATTGAAATCTCACTCTATTGCCTTGCAAGAGGTATCGAGAGCTTCTTCAGCTGCATGACAGATTTGGGATACTTACCACAATCGTTGAATTTCAAGAGAGCGGATGTGATAGTTTTCAGCTTATCAACCTCCATTATAATGCACTGCTATGCTCAGGAAAGGGAGGTATTTCGATCCAAGTATTTGAACGTGCTTGATTGGGTTTTTGGTGTGCCCCCACCCCCCTGTGAAACACCACGCTGCAAGAATGGCAAGCAAGATTAAAAGAGTCCTTGGATCTCTGTCGAACCACACTGGATTTTAATGTGCCAAATCTGTGTAATGTTAGGTCAAGAATTTTCATACTACGTAGTATCTTAGTGTTAGGTGATCATTACCTGCTATAGAATTAGCATGCAATCGTTTTGACCACATGATGCATCATATGAAGATGTAATTCTTGCAACAGTATTCCATTTAGGCCCCAGTTTACTTTGAAGATTTTGCTGGTGTCGATGTGGCCATTGTAGCAGATAATCTGAACAAGAACATGATCTGTAATGAGACTGGTAGTTCTGTTTCTCCCAAAGCTCAGCTTCAACTGGCTGTCAGATAACCTATGTTGCCCTCATATGGTGTAACTCATGGTAGCGGGTGGCTAGCGTGGGGAGAAGGCATCTCTCCCGAGTCCCAACGTCGTGTTAAATTGGCGTTGGGAGAGGGTTTTCACTCCCAACGTAACCAAAGATTGTTTCTCTAATAATCATAACTTGTAGTGTAGTCCTAGTTGAAACACAAACACCAAGTAGTGAAGTTAGTAGACAACAATATCATCATGATCCAGAGGTCTCAACGTGGGAGAAGCTCTTATAGCACAAAACCAGACAATGATCTCCCTAGATCAAGTAAATCCAGAGTTTTTAATTTATTGGGTCTAAATTAGGAAGATTAGTAACTACTTGTGGTTTAAATATTATTTTGGCCAATACACTTTTGAATGCTATTGATGTACATCTAATTTTGTCCGAACCCTTCAAACTTTCATATAGTTTAGTTCTTAAACTTTCAAAAAATTCTTTTTCATCTCTATATAATTTTGGTCTCTTCATTTTTTATTTTTTTTTTAGTTAAACTCGTAACTTTGATCTCGTTATAATAGTAATTTATGAAAGGACAAAATAGTCATATATGAAAAATAGAATGATCAAAATAAACCAAAAACTAAATGGAGTGGAACCAATACAAAATGAGCACATGCTTTTATGCTGATTTGTTTGTCTTCTCAATGATTGAGTCAGGTCTGGAGTTCCAATGGAGGATCCTTTGCCACCACCAAAGTAGATGGGCCACCTTGGAAGTTATCTCTTTACAAATTACAACTGGAAAAAATTCCTTAAAACGAATGGCTCACCATTTACAGAGCCTCTCACCCACTCCTTCATAGCCATCAATATCAGCTGCTCCTATTCCAATTTCCACAACAAATATTTAATGAAGTTATCTCAATAATTATTCGATCCATTCAGAACATGCTTATCACGTTGAAACACTTTTGGGTTCTTGAATCTGAGTCTTCATTGATTGGATTTGGATTCTGATTCTGATTCTGATTTTTGTTTTTGATGTTCCTCAAATGACAAGGTGCTTCTTCTTCAGCATCACAGAGACCAAGAATTGGTACCATCGCCATCGCTTCACCAAATGCGGCCTCCGATCCACCATTACAGATCTCAACGACGGCACCACAGTACACTGCTGGGTCCCCAAGAACCCACTTCACTCCAAGCCCAATCTGCTGCTTATCCATGGAATTGGGGCTAATGCACTTTGGCAATGGGGGGATTCCATTGCTACCCTTGTCCCTCATTTCAATCTCTACGTGCCTGATTTGATCTTCTTTGGCGACTCCTCCACTACAAACCCCGACAGAACAGAGTGGTTTCAAGCTCAGTGTCTAATCCGAGTTATGGAGGCTAACTCGGTGGGGAAGCTCAGTTTGGTGGGGCTCAGCTATGGGGGGTTTGTTGGGTATAGCATGGCGGCGCTGTGCCCTGATATGGTGGAGAAAGTGGTGATTTGTTGCGCTGGGATTTGTGTGGAAGAGAAGGATTTCAAAGATGGGTTGTTGAGAGTGTCTGATTTGGAGGAGGCCATAGCCATTTTGGTGCCCCAAAAGCCAGAGAAGCTTAAACAGTTGGTGGGTTACTCGTTTTTCCGGCCACCGCCCATGCGGCTGATGCCTTCTTGTTTGCTCAATGATTTTATTGAGGTAAGGCTTGAATTTTAAGCTATGCGAATATCATACTTTCTAAATTTTAGTTTTATAAGTAACAATCTCATTTTTATGTTAATTTGATTGGTTTTATCTTCGATCTTTGTGGTAGTCAATGTGTTTGGACCATATTGATGAAAAGAGAGAGCTGATTCGAACTATCCCCAAAGGGAGAAAGCTTTCAGACCTTCCCAAGATTCACCCGGTCATTACCCTTCACTCTCTTCGATTACGATTACATTTGATTGTTTGTTTTAAGTGAACACAGTATGATTATATTTGATTGTTTATTTTATATGAACTCGAGAAAGTTCGAAAAGTAGAGTCGTTTTATACTCTAAGAGTCAAGTTTTATACTCTAATATCTCCATAAACTTTAAAAATGTTATCCGATCCTCGTGCTTTCAATTCTGTTTCTTAATCTTTCAATTTTCAATTTTATATTTAATAGGTTTTTGATATTATTATATTTAAAATTCATTCATCAACTAAACATAAAATTGAAAAGGTTATCAAAATATAGAATATCAGAGTTCTATTTTGACATAAAATTAAAAGTTTAGAGACTGATTAGACACTTTTAAAAGTTTACACATAAAATAAACACAAACTTTCAAGTTTTGAAATTTGAATGTATAATTTAACCTTTATGAGATACTTTTTAACGTTCAAAGACCAAAAACAATTTAACATTTTTCCAATATGTTGAACTTAGACTTAAAGTAAGCCTTTTTCAACTTGCTTGCAGCGGACGATGATACTGTGGGGAGAACATGATGAAATATTTCCATTAGAATTGGGTCACAGATTGAAACGGTGAGTACTCCAACTCCCTAAATCAAAGCAAAGGATACATCAAATGTTGTTGAATGTGTTTGCCACTCTTTGGAGTAGGCATTTGGGGGACAATGCTACGCTTGTGATCATCAAGAATGCAGGCCATGCCTTCAACTCAGAGGAGCCAAAGGAGTTTCTCAACCATTTGATTTCTTTCCTGCTTTATTCATAGCCTCCCCTGGGCACTTCAAACTCACAAACAACATCATCAAGGAAAACACACTCAAACAACATCAAAAGCTGGAGTGATCTAATGATCGTTTATAGTATGACAAACAAGCGGGGAAATTTTGAACCTGCTGACAATTAGAGAAGTTATATCTCGACCATAGCTCGAATCGTCGACTTGTCCGAATCTCACATTCAACAACTAAGTTTCTTAAAGGGTTTTTTTTTTTTTCTTTTTTTTGGCATTTCCATTTTAGGAGTTCTAGTCCTATTAGATGAAGTTAAAAGTATTTCTTTCATTGCTTATCTAAGAGAGTGAATACGGTAGTGGTGAAGCATTAAACCCATAACAGCTCAAGCTCCCTCACTAATAGATATCGTTTACTTTGACTCGTTACGTATCGCTGTCAGCCTCCCGATTTTAAAATGTATTTGTTAGAGAAAGGTTTCCACACCCTTATGAGGAATGCTTCGTTCCCCTTTCCAACCGATGTAAGATCTTTCCACATCTTTATAAGGAATGCCTCACAGTTTTAAAAACACGTCTGTTAGGGAGAAGTTTCCACACTCTTGCAAGAAATACTTTGTTTTCCTCTCCAATCGAGGTGGGATCTCACAAAACCCCCTACCGTTCATGTATGGAACAACTCCATCCGATGACTACTGGATCAAAGGTCAGCATCAAAAATAGACCATGAGTTCTATAGTTATGAGCCCATTCTATTCCAAAAGTCTTCCTATGAACCAGAAAAGATTGTGAGAACATGTAAAGATATTAAAGCACAATATTGCAACCAGGTAAAATCAGTCAATCAAGTAGATAGTATTTCTCAAACTAAACAGATTCACTTAATTTTTAAAGGTAATGGTTCAAAGTGATAACAGATTACTGTTCTAGTACACTACTAATAAGCAAGAAAAGTGGCACAGCTATATGCCCTGCCTCCTAGAACCATGCCAACAGTAATTAGCTGCAAATATATAGGTGGTAAATAATTGTTCCAAGTACTTAAAGCAGATGTCCCCGACTGACCGAAGAGTTCGAATATCGTGCCTCTGCTCAAGGTTCATCAGCAGCTTTAGATTGCTCACCTGCGGTAATTATAATAGAGGGTTAGGTTGCAAATGTATACAAAAATTTTATTCATAGCCAATGCCTGCACAATGCCCAAGTGCCAGCTTGAGCACGCATGGACTAAGACAGAAAATTAGTATCAGAGTTTCTTAAAAACACTAAACAAAAGCGCTAAAGGTTAATAAAGTTTGAACAAAGTTTCCAAAAGAAATTCCATTTAAATCATGGTAATTATTAATAGCACCCAAGCCACTAATTATATTAGACTAAAACTAATTTGTATCTAAATGAAATACATTTCGGGTACTAGCTCAGTATATCGAAGCTGATACTAGCTCCATCCTTGACAGGACCTATCGTAAATTAAAAAAAAATTGTTCTTGTAAACGATTCTCATGAAATATACCACAACAATCCCCAACCTCAGGTGATTCTTTTAAGAAAGTTATGACTAATATATATTTATACTGAGACGTGTCACTTAAAAGCCCATTTCAATTATTGATATAGAACAAATGAAGCTCGATTGGAGGTAAGGACAGGAGAAAAGGATTCATGGAAATCTACCTCCCTCATCTGGGAGATCTGAGGTCCATAACGTGAGATTATCCCTCAGCAATTGCATGATGAGGGTACTATCCTTGTAGGATTCTTCATTGAGGCCATCGAGTTCAGCTATGGCATCATCAAAAGCTTGTTTAGCAAGGTGGCATGCCCTGTCAAGCAATAATAATATTGGAGATGGTGAGATAACAGCATATTATAGTAGAAAACAGAAAAGTTCAGAGGTAAAATCAGTAAAATCAACCTCTCTGGGGAATTTAATATCTCATAGTAGAAAACAGAATAGTTAAGCGCCAAGCCAAGTCTGATTGGATGTGTTGGAGGAAGATCAGAGCTTGCAATGCTTGAGGCAGACTGCATCAGAAATTAAAACTTCGATTACTAATCCGACAATAAACATAGGAAAGTTGAAGAGAACAAAAGACAGAAAAAGAGAGACAGATGCAAATGGAAACGAAATATAGAGGCTTCATGAAACAAAAAAGAATTGAACTTACCTCATAGGCCTTCATCGACTGGTCTGCAGCTTCTTCGCGTTCTTGGCCAGATTTAAACTCTGCTAAGTATCGATTATAATCCCCTTTCCTGCATTTGAAAAAAAGTAAAGGAAATTACTCAAAATGATTTGCTCACAAAAGCACACCTGAATACATACGACGCATACTTTACCAGGATGGATGCATAAAACATACTCAATGCAGACTGCAAACTCACGAAAATTGAAGGATACATAATGTCTAGCTAAATAGCAGATCAAGCCATCGTCTTCATTTCAAAAATAAGGTAAATGTTGCAGAGAAACTCAATAAAATGTATAACAATGCTCAATAGAACATTACCAGTTCATGCCATTTTAAAACTAGCTGAAGAACTAAACTAAGGGAAACAAACAGAAGCAGATGATGATGATCCTCACATCTTATAGTAAAAAACATTGGATTCGCCAGAGGATGAAGATGGAATGAGATGCTTGTCAACAACTGATAAGATGTCCTGGCAAATTCTTGCCAGTTCGTCTTCAACCCTCTGCCTGTACTCCTTGACCCTCTTCACATTAGCCTCATTCTTCTTTCCTTCCTCCTTTTGTTCAATAGAAGATAAAATACGCCACGAGGCTCTTCTTGCCCCAATAACGTTCTTATATCCCACAGAGACCAGGTTTCTCTCCTCCACAGTAAGTTCTACGTCCAACTTTGCGACGCTCTTCATCATTTCCACCATTTCTGAGACAAAACCAGAAGAAATTATGTGGCAAACCAAACAAAATACAATAATACTGTCCAGTTCGTCTTCAACCCAAACAATTTTCGAATGTCTCATATCATCTATTACAGAAGGATGTTAACAGAAACAGAGCGGCCGATTCACCGCATATACACGAAACGCTTCGCTCTATCTTCGTAAACTGAAGTGCGATACTCCAAAATCTTCACGAAGTAGTTTCAAGTTTCTAACACTAAAACAGCAATCACAGAAGTTCGCCGCTAAGTTTCAAATCATAAACAAAACCCTAACCGTGCAAACTATCCAGATCAACAAAACCGCACTACGAATCCACAAAAAGGAGATTTAAAACTCGATAAAAAATGGTTTACGTAACGCACCATCATATCTCTCTGCTTGTTCTGCAAGTCTGGCCAAGTAAACAAGCTTCTCCCTCTCCTTCTCCATCGCCGGAGCTCTGACGAACTTCTCGATCCGAAAAATGCGTTTGAGGCTGTTTTGCTTTTGATTCTTCCCGTTCCTCTTCCTACACAACCGCTTCCTGATATACTGTAGTTCGTGGATGGAGTGTAGTGGAGAATCCTGGGGGTTGTGGACGGCAAGGATTGGGTTTGGGACTTGGTGAAGGCTCTTGATTCTCGTGATGGAGGAGGAGAGCCGTTGGATTGCGGCACCGTTGAGTCGGGCGCGTGATAGGAGGCAATGAGACCAAAAGACAATGGCGTTGGTGACGGTCCATGTGGGGGACTGTGACGTCAACCGGGTCGGTGTTGAAAAACGAAACTAAAAATAAAAGAAAAAGTCCAAATACTTCTCCCGAGGTTAAATACTTTTCACCTCACTTTTTCTTTTTATTCAAATTGTTAATTTATCCTTCACAATTTAGTCCTTCAAACTTCTCGATATAACAATATAGTCCTTTTAATTTCAAATTATAAAACTAATAATAATTGTCTGATTTTGATTGAATTGAATTCATAGTTTGGGTCAAGGCCACCTAGTGAGACGATGAGGGATAAGCTTCATCGTAGAGATGGAAACAACCTGAATCACCAGCTAAGGCTCCTAAATGATCGCTCTGTGATAAAGGAGATCGAAGTGCAGAGACAATTAAGAGGTTTGATTAGAAGCAGCCACCCTTGAAAGAGTGCGTAATAACTCGTTGATTGGGTGCTCTTGCACCAAAGATAAACAAAACTAAGCGATCTTTGCCATGGTACCCATACTATGAGATGCAAACATCAGTCATTTGGGATTTTGTAATGTTGCAAGATACGAGATATATTTTCTAGTTGAGTTGATGCTTCGTTATGTGTTATTGCTACTGAATTCGTTGTCTAACCTCGAAATGGCTAGCCTAAGCGAAAGCTACTATGATATTTGGTTCCATCCCTGAAATGTCATAGGGGAAATTGCAGCTATGCCTTTCAAAAGGTTGTCCAATTTAATCTTAACTAATCACATCAATGGCAATTCATAGACGGCCAAAGAGCAGCATAAAGAAGACAGCCATGGGAGCACTGAAGCTGGTAAACAATAGTTTCTCATAGAACAAAGTTGCTGATTACAACTTAACCTTATAAGAGTTCAGAGATTTTGAGACCTTCAAATGAAATTACTATCTCACTTCACAACATTCAGTTGCCAAAACCGATGACATTTGAGAACATGGGAAGGGGTAGGATTCGCTGCACGATGATATACAAACATAAGGGGGTGTTTTTTGGGCACAACAACCCTCCAGTGAGCAGTTCAAAAGGATCGAATGAACACTGCCTTCAGAACCTACCATGGATGGTTGTGGCATTTGCAAGAAGTTACACACGAAGGGGCGGAGGAGTCTGTTGGTTACTATGCACAAATTGGGTTCAGACAGACATCATATATGCAGATGCGTAGCAAATTTTGAACTAAATTCCACAACAAAAGATACTGGATTAGGAAGCGTATCCATGTTTTTACCTTTGTTCCCATTATGTTGAATCCAAAAACTACTCGAGGCTGCCTTTTCTGCAATTCACCACAGAACCATCCATTAGGGGATTTGATGCACACCGACGACATTTTCACTGGCACGCCTGGCGGCTACTAAGAGCTTGCATCACCTATTGAAACTGTGGCAAAAGACTTGGCCCATATCCTGGCATTCATGGCCCCTCCTTGCAAATTGCTTCTCTTGCAAGGATCTTTGAAATGACTGAATAACTGAATTGCTCCTTTCAGGCACGTCAAAGGTCGTTCCCACAAGGTTCCAAATCTCAGGTTTCTAACGTGCCTTTGCCAAACGTATCGAGCGTAGACTAAAAGGGTTGGAAACAAAATATATATCAATCTCAAAAGCACAAATGCAGTAGCCAGAGCCAAGTACGTCTCTTCCCGAAGTAAATTTTCTGGAGACCTTGCCCACGAGAATGGGCAATTTTCCTGCTCATAGTTGTCATCATGCTTCTCCTCATTCCTCACTTGTCCGATTATATCTGGTGATATTTGATCCAGTGATGCAGTCTGAATGCCTATAAACAAGTAAACCACGACCAATAATATCAAATAATAGAAACTTAACAATCTGGGTCCAGTTGCAATTAAGACTATTCGTCAAATCTTCAATTAAAGCTAAGACTGGATACAAAAATCGGATAATAAAAATACTATTCTGCATATTGATGCAAAATTAATATTTTCAACTACTTGCCCCATGTGTGGGGGTCACCAGCTACTTATTAAAGCTTATTTGATTCATCCAATATCAGAGGGGCCTCAAAACCACCACAAGACCTTCTGAAAAATATCTATCACACGATTAGTAAAAGCCAATTTTATTATAAATCGATACATCAAGGAAAACATGTCCAAAAACCAAGATTCAACATATTTTAATTGACATAAAGAAAATCAGCAACTTTGAGCAATTTAACTGTTTCTATATAAAATGTAGTCTGTTAAGAAAAAGATGCAGACAACTTAGAATGAGACTGCACAATTTAAGTTTCTATGAATTCAAAATAAGTATTATTCTCATTGGAAGAAAAATTTAGAGGCAGCAAAAAGAAACCTTACCAGTAACATCATTATAGAATCCAATAAGAGAAGGGAGAGTTCGGGAACCATAGTAGCGAGCACGCATTGTCGAATTTAAAAGGAAAAGTGTAGGAAAACCATGAACCCCATACTTAGAGAGTATGCTGCAAGAAAATATGGGTTATGTTCAGATAAGTAAAAAAAAAAGTACGATGCAAATTTGTAAAGGTGAAAGTTTAATATGAAACCTTGGCCTGATAGCTGAGTCTTGGATTGCAAAATGCGGGATAGAAGGATATAAAGTGGATAGTATTGAAAATCTCGGCCTAAAAGACTTGGAGAACGGGCACCAAGATGCGTAGAAGAGTACTGCAACGTAGTCGTAACGGTTTTTATGAACCATATTCATTGCCATTTGTAACAAGGCTTCATCTCCCTTCATCATAGCAAAAATAAATAGTTAAGTTATCATCCTGACAATTATAACAACCTGCCTCTAACCATCCAGTATGCATCAAGATTAAACTCAAAACTCCAGCCGTTTTCCAAATTCTATGTGAAGAACACAATTCCCAGTTCTCACAATTAGAACCAAGAAAAGATCAGGAACGAACTCAGAACTCCAGAAGCAAAAATGCTTAGGTTCCATCGTCTTCTTCTGAGCTTTATTCAGTTGCATGCTCCGAAAACTTGACTAACAAAGGCAGAATTTCTGTGCAAATCCTTTTTAAAAGCTCAATTCGACCAAAATTTTTTTTTTTAAAAGAACTCAGACCAAAACGAAACAACACGTCAAAACCAAATCCAACAGAGTGAGTTGGAAGAAACCCTCTACCAGATGATGATCTTAACTACATACAAGTTCGTTCAGATTAGTGAAAGAAACAGAGAAGGAAAAAAGAAATTGGTTACCTCAGAAACACCAATAAATTCTGAGTGCCCATCTTCACCGTGAAAGGGGCAAATCGAGTTCCAATCCTTGAAAGGGAAGATCGTATCCAGAAAAGATTCAACAGGACACGAGGGACCTGAATGCGAAACCCTAACCGAGTGGGCGGAAGACGCTTGGCTCTCCAACATCATGGCCAAGACAACAATCCCCATCACCCAGAACCCGGTCCTCATAATCACAAAAAAAAAAAAGAAATGGAGCATGAAAAGTTGAATCAAAAGGGCGATGGAGGACCAAACTCACAGAAACAGAGAGATAAGCCGATTTTAATGATCAGAAACAAGATCGAGCAGCTACCATGGCAGAAGCGGGGAAGAGGAAGAATCTCGTGAGGGAATTAGAATCTGGGGAGGCGAATTCGTTCGAAGAATTGAAAAGAACAAAAATGGAATCGAACTGAAAAAGGAAAATTGAGGGTTAATGGCGATGGAGGGAGGGAGGAAGGGTGGGTGGACCGAACCAAAAGATAACGAAAGCGGTGCGCACTTGGAAAGGACCGTCTATGATCTGTCTCAACGCGCTCACGCTCCTCTTCCTCTTCCGGCTTTTTCTTATTTAGCTTAAATTACCATTTTAATTATAAAATTGTATTTTCAGTTTTTCAGTTTTAAAAATTAATTAATATTTAAATTTCAATTTTATGTCCCCTTTGTGAGAAAAAAAAAATCCATATAAATTGAAGAAATCTATTTTAAATATCATAGACACAAAATTAAAAATTTAGTAATCTATTTTAAAAATGATATATGGTAATAACTTGAAAATTTTAAAACAATCGGAACTAATTTTGAAACCACCAAGGACCAAATTCATAATTAACAATAATTAAAAAAGGATATCCAAATACATAATAAAATAATAAAACTCTAAATCAGGGATAAAAATGACCCAAATATAACTCATTTAATTAAGACATATAATCAAAACTCAAACATTTTAATCTCTCATAAGAAATTAAATATATTTATTTTCAAATATTTTCCTCAAATCTAAAAAATCATTACGATTTGAATACAAACCCATAAGACCTAGCCATGTCTCACATGAATTCATCTATGTATAACATAATCTCTAAGCCCGCCAAGATTGACATGAAATTATTAAGTGAACTTTTAAGATTATTGTGAGATCTCACATTGATTAAAAAGGAGACCGAAACATTTCTTATGAGGGTGTGAAAACTTCTCTCTATCAAACACATTTTAAAACTGTAAAGCTGACGGCGATACGTAACAGATCAAAGCAGACAATATCTACTAGTATTGGTGTCAGAGTATTACACTCATGAACATGCCCTCCTTCGAGGAATAATAACTATGAAAGAGACAACAAAAAAAAAAAAAAAAAAAGTTAAAGATTCCAATAAAGGTAATATTTTGAGTATAAATCTTACTACAATGCATCCTCAAATTTTCTCTAGCAATTGTTGGGTGGTTTGATGAGCAAAAGGGATAGTCCAACTAAAAAATGACACTGACGAGATACCTATTCACAGTATTTTTCCTAGTGAGTGACAAAATTGTAATATTAATGACTATCAATAAACAGAGCCATGATCGAAGATATTTGAAAATTTTGTAATAGTCCAACCTATCGCTAGCCGATATTATCTGGCTTTAGTCTATTGCGTATTTTTGCCAGCCTCACAATTTTAAAACGTATTTACTAGGGAGAGGTTCCACACCTTTATAAGAAATGTTTCGTTCCCCTCTCCAACCAATGTGAGATCTCATAGATTCAAAATCGTTCCCCTTCATCAGCTACGTAAATCCAATCAATACCAGCTGTCTAAAAAATCTATACTGTTCAGCTTAGTCTACAGCTCTGCCATTGTCTGCCTAAGCTCCTAAAGAACTATGATCCTGTAATGCAAATTAGTTATTAGTACGTCGTAGAGGGAAAAAGTAGACACTAGACTCAAATAGGACTGTTGCAATGGATGGTACTCATTAAGAAGAATGCTAACACAAACAACAGCATACGAAGAAGAAGTAAAAAAAAAAGAAAAAAAAACGAAGCCCAACTAAAATAGAGGCTCCAAACAAGTAAAAGAAGACCTAACGAGAATCTCGAAGAGTTACGTTCCTCACATTAAGATTTAGTAGTAGTGGGTCCAGTTGTCACAAGAAAATCTTAAACAGCTTCGTTCCTTGTCTACGAAGCATCCTTAAAAACTTACTCAAGAGTGAATGTGTTGAGGATTGTTGGTGTGGAGTCCCACATCGACTAATTAAGGGGATGATCACAAGTTTATAAGTAAGAAATACATCTCCATTGATATGAGATCTTTCGGGGAAAACAATAACAAAGTCATGAGAGCTTATGCTCAAAGTGGACAATATTACATCATTGTGGAGGGTCGTGATTCCTAACATGGTATCAAAGTCATGTCCTTAACTTAGTCATGTCTATAAAATCCTCAAATGTCAAACAATGAAGTTTTGATAAAAAAGTGACTCAAGTGTTGAATAAATGATGTACTTTGTTCGAGGGCTCCAGAGAAAGGAGTCGAGTCTCAATTAAGGAGAGGTTATTCAAGGGTTCCATAGGTCTCACGAGAGACTCTATGGTGTACATAGTTTGAGGAGGATTGTTGAGGATTGTTGGTAGGTAGTCCCAAATCCCCTAATTAAGGGGATGATCATGGGTTTAAAGATAAAGAATACATCTTCATTGGAATGAGGCCTTTTGGGATAACCAAAAGTAAAGATATGAGAGCTAAGGGGATGATCATGGGTTTAAAAGTAAAGAATACATCTTCATTGGAATGAGGTCTTTTGGGATAACCAAAAGTAAAGATATGAGAGCTTATGCTCAAAGTGGATAATATCATACCATTGTGAAGGCCATAGTTTCTAACAAATGGATTCGTAATACCCTATAAGGACACAATCGTGTGGAATTGAGTAATGAATCAATTAGTAAAAATGAACCTAATAGATAGAAGGAAAATGTTGTTAGAGTGTCCTGATGTGTAGAGGTATTCTTATAATATACAATAAATCATGAGTTTAATACTCAAAGCTGAACATTCTTCCTCTGTAACCAACCTTTTCCATTTAAGAAAAGTGAGTAACCAAATCCAACATAGTACTTTGGAATTATTAGTTTTTGTGATGAACGCAGTAAAAGTTATGATGTTTTGATAGAAAATTGTTGCACTAGACACCAGAGAAAGCTTTAGTGTGGGAAATACTAAACTAACTCAAAAAGAAAACATCTCAACCGAACTAAACAAGCATCCAATATAAGTAAAAGAATTGGTATCCACAAAAATAGTATTGTCCAAACGAATTAGCAACAAATCTTCGTAACTTTAAGTATTTCAGAGTACTAATTTGACAAATTATTCAAGTATAGATTTACTTGAAAGTTTAAGTTCCAATTATCTCTGGGTAAAAAAAAAATAATTTTATTGAAGAACTAATTGATTGTTAAATTATAGACTACTTTACTCGACTTATTCCTTTTTTTTCACGCGTCAAAGTGAATAGAATGTATTTTAACTAATATAAGCAATTGGATATAATATTATCACAGATACTAGTGGAGAAACACCTTCCAACATCAAACACATATATCTTATTCTCCCGCATCAATTTCTCAGAATGCCCATTAAAGTTCATGTCTAGTCTAATTTTCTAAAGTGGGAATAATTTGACCAATGTTATGCTTGTTTCCACACAATTTGTTTCCCCCTTCTTAAAAACACATCTATTTTCAAAAACAAAATCAAGTTATCAAAATTGATTTTTTAAAAACATGTTCAAAAAGTAGGTTATAAAGCAAGAAAGCTATAAGTAAAAGTAAAAGTAGCGATTCTAAGCTTAATTTAAAAAGGGAAAACAGAAAAAAGAAAACAAAATACTTATCAGATTCGGCTTCACATGTCCATTGCAAAGGTGTTTGTTTGTTGGGATTTCTTTGAGCTAAATTTTCGTTTTTTCATTTGAGTTTTTAAAGCTTAAATGAAGATAGCCTTAGTTCCTCCATTAAAGTGCGTCTCCAAGATGTCCTTCGTGTGTGCAAACATCGCCTCAAATCCTTTTGAAAACATTCACCCCCACATTACATGATGATGCCGACACTTCGCATTAAGCGACAAATGTACACAGTTGACGCTCGCTCCAACTAAAAATCACAGAAACTTGGAGAAACCGAGGGCAGCTACCGCACGCACTCTCCACATTTAGGACACTCTCTAAACGTCTTAATATCTAGTGGTAGAGTAACATAATTGATTATTTACCCCAAGATCTTAGAAATGTTAACTACCTAAAGCATTGCCTCTAGGCCCAACCCTCACCCTCTATAGTCGAACAGTTTGCTGAACTCTGGAACTTTTGACTCTATTACCTGCTGAACTCTGGAACCTTTGACTCTATTACCTGACCTTCTGTTCTTTTTCTTCTTCTTTTCTTACTCTCATCTGATTTAAGAAAAAGAGTAACCTTTGACTCTATTACCCGACCTTCTGTTCTTTTTCTTCTTCTTTTCTTACACTCATCTGATGTAAGAAAAAGAGTAACCTTTGACTCTATTACCTGACCTTCTGTTCTTTTTCTTCTTCTTTTCTTACTCTCATCTGATTTAAGAAAAAGAGTAACTTTTGACTCTATTACCTGACCTTCTGTTCTTTTTCTTCTTCTTTTCTTACTCTCATCTGATTTAAGAAAAAGAGTAAGGGAAGAAGTGAATGAAGTAGCGACTCAACCCTTATTTTCTTTTAATGGAACTACCTTTGTTAATTAATATGTTAATTATATTTATATAATTTTTAGTGTCCATGGGAGCTTCCACCTACTTTAACTAATTTTAGAATACAACAATCTACCTCTACAATATTTGATTACTAAAAAAAACTTATATAGCATTGGATGGTCGATAATGATGAGTTATATTTGATTTTGAAAGGTATAACTTCTCATTCCTATGGCATAGGTATCCTAATGGTACAATCCCTCTGTCACCCCAAAATGAAAGGGGGCGATCTCGTAGTTTTTGGTCTGTGACAATTCCTATAACATGTTATCTTAATGGCACGATCCCAGAACGAAGGGTACGACCTCGTAGTTCTTGGTCTTAACAATTCCTAGAGCACAGTATCCTAATGATACGATCCTTCCAACACCCAAAATGAAAGGGGCGATCTTGTAGTTCTTGGTCTGTGACAATTCCTATAGCATGATATCCTGATCGTATGATCTCTCTGTCACCCAGAATGAAAGGAGTGGTCTCATAGTTTCTAGTTTGCTCAATCTCAAGGAAGTTTAACATCAATGACAAAATTCAGTGAACTAACAAGTAAAAAATGAAAAAAAACAAGTCGGACATTTTGCAAACAAATATTATCAAAATATATAAATTCAGATTCGAAGAGGCTCAGCATGTATATCAATATAAAAGAAATAAGAAAATAAATGCATGAAAAAGAAAATGACAATTCAAGAACTGATATTTAGAATTACTATGCTGCTACACATTTAAAGAAGATAACTAACTATTAATTCAAGTTTTATTTAATCACATAATAGATTATTAATTAAATTTAGTTTAATAAATAAGACTGTACTTATTTATTAAAAAAATTGAAAAACCTAAATAAATGATGAATATTTTTATTATTTATTTCTTTTTTAAATATCAAAAAAATATAAATAGTAAGAAAAACAATCAATCAAATTTAAAGAACGAACGATAATAATTTATCTTACATCTACAGGTCGATCGAAGAGGCCAGGTTCACAGCATTACCATTACGATCTCCTCCTCCTCCTCCGCCGCCCGTTTTTCGCAGCCGCTTTTGGAGTTCGGAGCCGCATTTCCATTACTCTGAGCAAACCGATTGCTGTCCTTCCGCGGTCGCCCTCTCCGCCGCTTAATCGGACCATAACTGCTATCGATAATATCAACAGGAATACTCTGGAAAATGGCGTAGGAAGAATCAGGTACTGATTCGTCGTAAATGTGGTTAACAAGGACCAGGTCCTCATCTCCGTCGCCGTAGCTGTCGTTGACGGCACAATGAGAATCTCCAACGAAGAGTTGCTTCAAGCGAGTAACAATCTGAGCGCTGCCTACATCTAGGCGGTCGGAGGATTGGGAGCGAAATGTGGAGGAGGACAAGGAGGAAGAAAATTGGGGCTTGCGAGGGGCTAGACGGAGGCGAGAATAGGTTTGTTTTCGGCTACCGGCGGACTCATTGAAGACAGATCGATCAATTTTGGGGATTAGAACGTCGTCGTCGTTGTTGGATTGGGAGGTTGAAGAAGAAGATGAGGAGAAGAAACGAGAAAGACAATAGAGGTCGGATTGGGAGAGGCGACGGAGATCTATGATCGGCAGAGTATTCATGCGAAGATTGTCGTTGGAAGGGGAAGCAACCATAGTTGTGGAAGCCATGGATATGACATGAGCTCCTGTAAATTGCGAAGAAGTAGTAGGAAGTGGGATAAGCGAAAGGACAGTGGGGAACCGATTTCAAAATGGGCCTTGGCCCAACTTTTTCTTAGTGGGTCGCCCCAATATCAATGATTATTATTATTATTATTAACCTATTTAAAGTAGATTTTTTTTAATAGATTTTTCTTTCCGATCTTCTCCTCAATTTAACCTAACCCTTATAAAAAATGATCGTCCACCGCTAACAAATATTATCCATTTTGATCCATAATGTATCGTCATCAACCTCACGATTTTAAAACACTATACTAGAGGAATATTTTCACATTCTTATAAAAAATGTTTCGTTCCCGCTTTTCAACCAAGATAGGATCTTACAATTCATTCTATTAAGGGTCAACATCTTTGCTGGCAGACTGCCTCATGTCTGACTCTGAGACAATTTATAGGACTCCAAGTCCACCTCTAACAAATATTGTCCGTTTTGGCTTATCGTCTTCAATCAATAATACATACAATATATTTAATACAAATATTGATATATTAAATATATACTCAATGTATTAAATTTCGTTTATTTAATAGCATTATATTATATTACAAACATCATATGAAATATTTGTCTTTTATAACTTAAATTCATGATATGAATGTGAATATACGAGATTTATTATTGTATTGAACGAATCAAAATTTAGAGCGTTTGTTAAAATCGGGGCATAAAGGGACCACTAATTGACAGTTATTTGATAGGGAGAGGTCACGTAGGCATTACTATGGATGCAGCAAGCAAGTAAATGCTTAGATGCCCTTTACCATATGTCACGAAATAGAAATAATTAAAATAATTTCAAATTTATAATTTTTTTGAAAAATAAATTTAAAAAAATTCAAATATTTCCCTTTTTCTATTATGATTTTAGAATTATTTTCGATAGGAATAAATTTTTATACCATAAATATTTTATTGCTCTTTCAAATCGATATGAATTTTCATAATTGATTTTTTTCCTAAAAAATATATATATATAGGCACTCATTTTGCAACGACAAGTGAGTTAAGTCAATTCGTTCTTACGTCGTCTACAGCCAAACGATGTATGCTCGAGCCTCTGGCCTCGATTTGAGAAAGTTTTAGAAAATGAGAGCAGAGAGAAATTTTAGAAAGAGACGTTTTATAAGCAAGCAAGAGAGTAACAACAACGGAAGTTTTTTTTTTTTTTTTTATTTTAAAAAACATAACTTTAAAATTAATCATTCAACAGGAAAAAGCATTTAAAAAAAAAAAAAACGTTTTGTAATGGGGTCCACCGTTGGGGGATTCTTTCCTGTCGGCGGGCCGTAGTAGCGACGCGTCACTCGCATTTTAAAATTTATTATTTTCGTAAATACAAATTATTTATTAATTTGTTAATAATTATTCTTCTATTTTCTTTTTATTAGTAATCACTTTTATAAAATTATCAAATAATTATATATATATATATATATATATATTATTATTTTATTTTTACAACAGTTGATTTTTGTTTTTTTGTCAGAAATTTGTTCATTAATTTGAAGTCATAAAATTAAGTAGAGGGATTTAAGAACGCAATCATAAATTGAAGTGAAAAATTATAGAATTTCGGGAAATAATGTGGAGGCGGGTGAATTAGGAAGTTCTTCTCTCATTCATTACGTGATATATATCTATTCAATTGCATGTGGATTCATCGTCCTAAGGATATAAAATACAAATTTATGAGCAGAAGCTGGATCTGTGCAGAATCTCCTCGTTTTACTCTACTCTTCTACTCGATCAAACCCTTTCATACTCATTTCTGAATCAAGAACTTGAAGCTGTAATCAAATCAATACATTCATAGTCGCTCCCTAATTTCTGAGTTTTTTGTTCTTTTCACTTTTCCAGGTATGTTGATTTCGTCTTGTTTTCCACTGTGTTTCGTATTTGATTCGATTTTCATCGGACATATAGTTTGCTTATTGAGAATTACTCTTTCTTCCGCTGGAATGGATCTTTCTTTTCGATTTAGCTTCTGGCATTCATAAACGTTATGGCGTATGAATTAATAGTATCGAAAACTTTTAGATATATATTCTTAGTTCTAAGCTGTTTATCTGAAGAATTTTTAGTGATTATGTTGTTTTTCATTTGGTTTCCGAAGTTTTCGGGTTGAGAATGTTGAAGCCCTTGCACCGAGGTGTTTCTGGGACAAGGATCTGTGAGGGTAGCCATGACTTAAATGGAACTGAGAAGGGAGATTTTGATGTGAAGGGTTCTTCATATGAAAGTGATGAAATGTTTAGGTTCCTGTCTGATTCGTTCGTATTGGGAACTCTAAGAAATCAGCACAAGTTAGCTAAGCAAATGTTGAACTTCAGCATACCGTTGATTGTTCTTGTAATCTTCTTTGGATTGTTTTGGTGGTCTGTATCTATTTCGACGTCATCCAGACTTCACGCAGCTCGTAGTTACGATAAAATTCAAGAACAGGTTGTTTTATACCTTTCTGAGATTGGGGAGCTTGCTCTTGGTCCTTCAAGGTTAAGAGAATTGGAGTTTTGTTCCCAAGATTTTGAAAACCATGTTCCTTGTTTTAGTGCTCGAGAAAACCCTGACTCGGGATCTGCCGATCGTTCTTGTGAGGTAGAACCAAAGCAAAATTGCATTGTACCACCTCCTGTGAAGTACAGGGTTCCTCTTAGATGGCCCATTGGAAGAGATGTTATCTGGTTTGCGAACGTAAAAATGACTGCCGACGAAGTCCTCTCTTCAGGAAGCATGACCAAGAGGTTGGTCTGTAGATTAGCTATTCTTGTCTCTTTAGTTGATGTGATGACTGTTTGAATATGAACAATAGTTTTGTGTTTACAGGATGATGATGATGGAGGAAGAGCAGATATCATTCCGTTCTGATTCTTCGATGTTTGAAGGGATAGAAGATTACTCCCACCAAATTGCAGGGATGATTGGGCTGAGAAATGTATCTAATTTCATACAAGCTGGAGTAAGTAAATGTACATTAGAGCTAGCAAGCTTAGCTCAGATCATTAGTCCGTTCACCTGTCCAATATCATGGTCGATGTGCTGATCCTAAAATTTTGCAGATAAGAACTATTCTCGATATTGGATGTGGTTATGGTAGCTTTGGAGCTCATCTCTTTTCAAAACAGCTTTTGACCATGTGCATAGCAAATTATGAAACATCTGGCAGTCAAGTTCAACTAACGCTCGAGCGAGGACTTCCTGCAATGCTAAGTTCTTTTGCTTCAAAACAGTTGCCATATCCATCTTTCTCCTTCGATATGGTTCATTGTGCGCAATGTGGTATCGATTGGGACCTAAAAGGTATCAGTCAAAACTTAATGCTTCTCATGATATTGTTTATGCAAAAACTGTGCGTTATGGGCATGGGACGCGTAATTCTTTAGTTTTAGAGCCTTGATTTTGACTAGAACATGATTCTCAATAGGGCTTCATTGAATATATCAATTGATCACTTGGTACAGATGGTATCTATTTAACTGAAGTCGACAGAGTCTTAAGGCCCGGGGGATATTTTGTTTGGATGTCACCAATTGCCGATGCTCAGAGCTTCCTCCACAACAAAACCAATCTGAAAAAGTGGAACGCTGTTCGTGATTTTACCAAGAGCCTCTGCTGGGAAATGCTGTCCCAACTAGACAAAACTGTGGTATGGAAAAAAACTAGCAAATCAAGCTGTTATCATTCGAGGTACACGCCGTTTATGGAAATTTCTATTGGTGGTCGTTCAATTTGTCTATAGACAAGTTATCCTGATCGTTTGCTATACGCTGCTTGCAATTCTAGGAAGCCTAGTTCGGGTCCTCCACTATGTAATAAAGGCCATTATGTCGAATCTCCATATTATCGTCCTCTCGAAAACTGCATTGGTGGAACAAAAAGCTCTAGGTGGTTTCCTGTTGAACAGAGGACATGGCCTTCTAGAGCTAACTTAAACAAGAGTAAACTTGCAGTTTATGGTAATCATGGTGTACTAAGGATGAATTTCTTCATCACTGGACGTCTTTACTTGTTTACGAAGTTAGTTTTTTCTCAGGAGTACAATGGGAAGATTTTGCTGAAGATTCCATGAAATGGAAAATGGCCGTCAATGATTATTGGCCTCTTATGTCACCACTGATATTCTCAGATCACCCGAAGAGACCTGGCGAGGACGATCCCACGCCCCCATATAACATGCTGCGTAACGTGCTTGACATGAATGCTCAGTTTGGAGGATTTAATTCAGCCCTGTTGGAATCTGGCAAGGATGTATGGGTCATGAATGCAGTTCCAACAACTGGATCTAATCACCTTCCATTGATCGTCGACAGAGGCTTTCTTGGTGTATTACACGATTGGTAGTACTATTACTTCATCCCGTCCGATCCAATTCAATTGAATGTCGAGTACACCATATAATTCGAATACAGTCTACCTGTTCCTTCCTGTTTATGAATTTATTCTCTTCCCTTTCAGGTGTGAAGCATTCCCTACATATCCTAGAACATACGATATGGTGCACGCAGACAGTATTTTATCCCTTGAAGCTGTACGACATCGTTGCAGTATGCTTGATCTGTTATCCGAGATCGATCGGTTACTTCGTCCTGAGGTATTCATTCTACATATAATTATCATACATAGACAACTATAATTACTCCAGTTGGGTTCATGGTTTAGGTGGGTCCTTGCAAGTGACCTAATAAGATTTCCCAAATTTTCATCATCATATCAGATCTTGTCTGTGGTTTTATGTGCCGTAAACTATAAGCTTTTAAGCAGCTCATCCTAAATGCTCATGAAATAAATGCATTAATGTTAAAGGTAAAGGTAAGCCATTGATGCAACAGCGATTCAAGTAATCAACATTTTGGTCTCCTGAATTTCTTCATTGAATCTAATCACCATGTTAAATCAACTGCTGGCTGGTTCTTTCAATGTATGATAATGTGATTGTTTATGGTGAACTGCAGGGTTGGGTGATAATACACGACGCCACAAACCTCATCGAATCAGCAAGAAGGTTAACGACACAGCTGAAATGGGATGCTCGAGTTATCGAGAGCGATAGCAACATGGACAAGAGGCTGCTCGTCTGCCAGAAACCATTCTTAAAGAAGATAGCGAATTCCTAACGAATTTCGATCAAGGAAAATTAGGTTGAGGAATGAATTCGTCTTGCAGTTCATAGATTCATTTTCTGTGTATGGTATGGATCTAACCAAATTGTAGAAAATATATTGAAAAAAAAAAAGGTTAAATTTTACATAATAGATTAATGAATTGTTCTTTTCATTATTGCAACAATCTATACATTTGAAAATAGCTGCAAAAATCCAACTGGTGGCTCAAAAGACGACAAAAGACAAACGGATTAATCCACCTTAGGACAGCAACTGCCAATTCATTTCTCAGTTGTCCACATCAAAGCTCGTTCTTTCTCAAATATTCACGGTAATCTCTCTTTTTTGAAGAAACCAACTATGAGGTAGAAAGCTTCGAGAATCATGGTTCCCGCTTCTTCTATACCCGCCACACTTTCTGGGCGCTCATCAGGTCCAGCTTCTTGCACTTGCTGCCAACTTGCTAGTAGCACCTCCGCTTATGTAGCTACTGAATCCCTTAGTCAATGGTTCGACTAATGCACTAATGTCCTGACTCGAGATTTGAAAATGAGAAGGTGTATTGTCATCGTATTCAGGTACAATAAAACAAATATAAAATATACACTAGGTCCCTAAACTTTTAATTTTATGTTCTAACATGTTCAAAAACTTCTTAAAATTAAACGATCTATCACATAAAAATTAAATTTTAGTTCTAATCAAACTCTAAACTTCCAATTCGATACCCAATAAGCTCTGAATTTTTTTAAAAAAAAAATGTAAAGTAATCCAAACACAAACAAAATAACAATGATCAAAGTAAATGAGATTCCATTAAAAGATATATATAAAGCTTAGTCAAATATAGCAAATAATGTGGTTCTCATATGGGTCATGTGCATATGGGACTATAATATTATATAATATAATATATATATATATATATATATATATATATATATATATATATATATATATATATATATATATATAGACCAAATAATATCTTTCAATCAATGTGATCAACAAATTTATACGATCTAGACCCTAAATCCTAAACTCTAAATATTTTAAATATTTATTTTAGTCGTGAAAATTTCTTTTAATTTTTATTTTCGAAGCCTAAAAAATTTCCATATCAATTTTCATTTTAATTTGAATGAAGATTTGGAGTCATATTTATAGGTATGATAATTGTGCCACTAACTTCTTTTGGTCATGCAATAATGAGCGTGATTGAAGGCTTTTTTAAGGATTTCTTTTGGCTTTGACCTTCATCCCATTTAGCCCTAAAATGTTACACCAATCATCTATAATTAATTCTCCTTTCTCGATCCCCCAATTCGATTCAATTTATGATTAGACTTTATCGATAATCAAGTTGTGACAGTTGGTAAAAATACACATAGATCTAGCAAGACGATAAAGACCCGATAAAAATAATTATTTTAATTAAATTAAGACTTCGTTACAAACACGAGTATAGCTCAATTGACATAAAACCCGTCATTTCAAAAAAAAAATGGTAAGATTCAAATTTGTTATTATTAAAAAAAAATTGTTTTAAAAAATAAGATGGTCAACTGTTTTTTTTAGTGGGTATATATATGAATTATTATATAAAATGTCAAAAGATTGAAATTAAGATATATATGACTTATTGTATGTAGACTTTATTGCAATAATATAAATCTTATTTAATTTATTTATAAAAAAAAACTCAACAAAATAATTAAGAATAATTTTTAAAAAAGTTATCACTGATTTTATTTCTTTAATTTATTTTTTAAAATTTGAATTTGGAGAGATGATAACATGTAAAGAAAATATATAAACACAAATTTTAAATTAAAAAATAATAAATATTTTTTTTAAAATTAAACTTACCAACACTATTTTCAATTAATTGATTTTTTTTTTTAAATTCAAGTTATTCACAAAAAGAACAAATATAATTTTTTTTAAAATAATTTTTTTGTTTTCAGAATTTGACTAAAAATAAAAAATAAAAAATTAGATATACTTTATTTTTTTTATTATTATTATTATAAAAAAGGAAAGTTTTTTATTTTTTATTTTTTTAATTTTTATAAAACTTAGTGATAGAGACGTCTCGTAGTTGGAGTTGTTTGTTTAGCTGACAAAAGTAGGTAAATTGGGTAGTGGTTGCTGTTAACACCCCAAACTATTTATTTCTATAATAACCCAATTTCAATTCTCATAAAAAAATAATAATAATAATAAAATAAAATAATTTCGTTTTAATTTAAAAAAAATAAAAAAATAATATTTTATTCTCGAGAATACGACCCACCCAAATTAACCCGAAAATAGAATTACAACTCAACATTACTCTACTTTTAAAATTATTACGATATTTTTATTTGTAAACTCTATTTGAATTGTTCGTGTACCTAAAATTTCAAATTGGATTTAACTCGTCTTTTAATAATTATTAATTTGGAAAGGTATTGATGGAATGGAACGGAGCTGGTGGGATTATACTATTTTTTAATTTAAAAAAAAAAAAATCATTTAAATTAAATTAAATTAAATTAAGAGAGAGAAATAGAATTATCCAGCTCATTTAACAACTTTATTTAACTAAATTTAAAAAAATATATATTTAATTTTTAAAAAATAAAACAATAATTCTAATTACCGGCGCCATAGTCTCTGTTCACAGCTGTTAATTAACGGACATTGCAAGAGGCCAACAACATCGACCATTTTCTTCACTTCCAGAATTACAATTCCTCTTCCATGGCCGCCGCCATCCCTCCATAAATCCCTTCCCATTTGTCTCATTCATGAAGAACATCACCGGCCGCTTCCCTCTCCGCCGGACTCCGCCTTCCTCCTCCTCTTAATCGTCCCGGCGGTGCCCATGGCTGAAAATTTCTCCAACACTCACCCGCCGCCCTTCGGCGACACCACCTGGACTAAACTCTTCGTCGGAGGCCTCGCCTGGGAGACACAATCCGATGAAATGCGCGCCTTTTTCCAACAATTTGGGGAAATTCTTGAAGCTGTCATAATCCATGATAAGAACACCGGCAAATCCAAAGGCTACGGATTCGTAAGTGTTCTTTAATTCCTTCGATTTGTCGTTTTTTTTTTTTTTTTTTTTTATTTTAATTTTTTTTTTTTTTGTTTTTAAAT